TAATAATTATCTTCATAATTTTATTATGAATATATTTTTAATTTATAGTTATAAAATTTTACAATTTATTATGTGATCAGGTGTTTCAAATTTTTATGTATATTATATTTTCATTTTAAAATATAATTAATTTTATAATTTAAAACGCACGATTGAATGTTAGTTAAGAAACACATCCCACCTTTGTATTTATAATTTAGAAATCTTGACATAAAATAATTAAACAATTTATTTAATATTACACAATCTATTAATCTCTATTTTGTGAACCAGAAATATTTAATTTGATTATTTAGATTTGGATAAATTGTAATCTAAATGCAATCAGCTAATTTGCGAGCTACTACACTAGGATATTTTATTATCTGTATGATATCCCATCACTTAATGATATCCATAATATTATATCAATATAATTAAAATTAATATAATAAGATTATAATAAATAATCATAATAATATATCGACACTCGCTAAACTCAAATTTCATCGATCTCTGCCCGTCTTATTTGCTTTGTCGTAACCTTTCGTTCGTACTTATTATTTCTCTCCACAATTGGATTCAGATCATCATTGCATTCAAAGTTTGATAGATGGCAGATTAAATGGGAAGTAGAACAGAGATGATTGCTAGGGCAGTAAAAATGGCAATCGACAGACTGCTGGTACCAATCCCCAGAGACGGAAGTCCAGCGCGGCAAAGTAACCTTCATCAAAGATCACTTGAACTTGATCAACTCTTTCTTAAGACAGGTCGACCAAAAGCCAGGAGGGGCATTGGATGCCAGAAACTTGGTCAAAGGATTGGTCAATCGAGTGAGAAACATTGCTTTTTGCTTTCAAGACGTGATCGATGAACAATCGTTCAAGTGGCAAAACGGAGCCAGCAAAATTATGACTCGCCGGAGTAGTTAGGAGCATCGGTCGCTTTGTCAGAACCATAATACCTCAGGATGCAGTTGAGAAAATAGTGTCTGTGATTAATGAGGTTAGAGACCTCAGAGAATTATTAGTCAGACTCGATCAAACAAGACAGATTTTACACTTCATCCAATGTTCAATAGACATTCTCATTGGAACAGAGATTAGTACAAGACGTAACACTCCACATACTACTCCTTACATGTATGAAGTTGATGAGCTCGTTGATAAAACTAAGGAAAGGCTTGTCGACTGGCTCTTGAATAGATAGAATAGGCTCACAATATTTTCAATGTTTGGTGAAGGTGGATTGGGTAAGTACAATAAACCTTCATTCTACAGTTTTCTTTGTTGACTGGTGGTACAATTAATGCAAAAATATTGAATAAACCAAAACAGCCTTCACTTACATATCTCTAACATCACTATGTATTTACTGTCGTTTCAAGGTAAAACAGCTATTGTGAATTATGTATACAACAAGCAAAAAGAGGAAAGATCTTTCGATTTTCATACTTGGATCACTGTCTCTCATTCGCTAAAAGGAAGGAAGCTATTACAGATTATGGTGCAAAGCTTCCAAAATGTGTATGGCAGCAACAGAAATGGTGATGTAGAAATTAATGAATTCATGGATGTTGAATTGATTAGTGAAATCAGAAAATACCTGTGTGGAAGGAGATATATGATTGTTTTTTATGACGTAAGAGATATAGACTTCTGGAAAATGGTTGAACCTGCATTACCATACTACAACAATAGTAGTCAAGTAATAATTACCGCTAGGGATAAAGGCGTTGCAGAATTTTGCCAATGTTTTGCCCCAACTCACGTCCATGAGCTACAACCACTGGATGGGAACAATGCTTTGAAACTCTTCTATCATAAGGTCTTGTTAGAAAGTTATAATGATCTTCCCTACCACCTGAAATCGTGCCTCTTGTATTTTGGTCTTCTTCCAAAAGATCACTATATCAGATGTGCTAGACTCATCAATTTATGGATAACAAAGGGTCTAGTAATGCAAAATGGCAATGCAGATATAACAACATTGCAAGAAGTTGCTGAAGAGTATTTAGATGAACTAATATGTGAGGGTTTGGTTAAAGCATTGGATGTGTCTCCTTCTGGTAGAGTTCGAATTTGGCGAATCCATTACTTAATGCATGACCTTATTCTTAGTACATGTCAGGAGATGAACTTTTGTCATTTGAAAACGAGGGAGGAAGAATTTAAATCCCATGCATCAGCCAGACGTCTATCAATCCAAGACATCAGCCCTGATGATCCACAAAGCACAGGAAATTATAAAAAAGTGAGGTCTTGTCTTGTGTTTAACATGGCAAGGTTACCAAATCCTGTGTTAGAGTCAATGCTCTTAAGTTTTCATCTCTTAATAGGATTAGACATTGAAGGTTCATGTATAGATTATCTTCCCGAAGCAGCTGGAAATTTACTTCTTCTGAAATATCTAAGTCTTAGAAGAACAACAATTAAGACCATTCCCATGTTCATTAAGAAGCTTCAAAATCTAGAATATTTGGATCTAAAATATACTCATGTTCGAGAATTGCCTAAAGAGATTTACAAGCTCATCAAACTACGTTCTCTGATAACAAATTATTTGGAGCATGGGACAAATCGCTCAATCTCAAGTTTCAGAGGAGCAAAAGTACCTGAAGGAATTGGGTGCTTAAGGGCTCTGGAGAAACTTACAGCAATTGATGTAGCTGATGATGGGGGTGTGGTGATCAATGATTTGAAGACTTTGAATAATATGAGAAGGTTGTCCATTACAGGGCTAAGAAGACACAAAGTGAAGCTACTATGCTATTCAATAGAGACCATGAGCCAACTTTGTTCACTGAGTATTTGTGGTGCAGAAGAACGTGAAGTTATTGAGCTAGAGCCATTAAATAAACCTCCTCAGAAGTTGCAGCGCCTTTACTTGGACGCTCGCATAGAGAGACTACCAAACTAGATTCTTGAACTTGAATCTCTGGAAAAGTTGAGACTGAGTTTCTCAGGACTAAAGAAAGATCCACTTTCTGTACTTGAAAACTTACCAAGTTTGAAGGAACTTCAACTTCGGAAATCATATGAAGGTGAGGAGCTTCATTTCAAAGAATGATGGTTTAAATGGCTGAAGAATTTGGAATTAGAGAGCTTGAAAAACTTGATGGCCTTAAATATAGAGAAAGGAGCATTGCCTGTTCAGGAAACTTTGCAATTGATGGGGTGTCCACAGTTGGTGGAGGTGCCCACTGAGATCCAAAATTTGAAAATTCTCATAAAGTTTCACCTTTGAGAAATGCCTTCACAAATAATAACTAATCTGACATTGAAAGGAGAGATCGAGCTACCAAAAATTGAAGGAAATAAGCCTTGTGACTTCTCGTAAGGACTTGTATCAGGGTTTAACCCTTCTGATGCATTCATCGTTTGGTAAATATTTGCATGTCCTGTATACCTTCTGTTTGGAACTAATTTTGTTAATGCTACATTGTTGGCTATATTTTTTAATCCATTTCACTCTTATCCTTTCTACTAACCAAACAGGCCCTTAGTTGATAAGTACTTGTATGCAATGTGTATATGTTGCAAGATTTGATCATTACCTTGGCTTTCATATTCAGTTGTTGTTTTATCAGTTTTGTGAGATTCGTTCTCAGTTCTCACTAAGTATTTGAAATATTATTACATAGAAAAAAATTAATTATTTGGTCCTATATTTTTGATTCAATTTTAACTCATTCTTTAAACTTTAACTCAGTATAAGTCAGTCTCTATTATTTTAATCATTTAAGATATTAGTCCCTTTATTTTAAAAAATAAAATTATAAAGAGTAAAATTATTTTAAAATTTTAATCTTTATAATCTTTCTAAAGATTAAAAGATTTCATAATTTAAAATATTAGTCCATAAATTTTAACATAATTTCAATTTTGATGATTTTATTTTCTAAAATATATTGACCCATATTCTAAATGATTAAAACTGTAAAAACAGAGTTGTACCTAATTAAAGTTAGGTATTGAATTACAACTTAATCAAAATTATAAAGATTGAGTTATAATTAAATTAAAACTATAGAGACCAAATACTTAAGTTTTTCAATTTAGCCTTTTCCTAATGGTTTGGTGTGTATTAGAGTTTGAGTTTGCCTAGCTTATGTTTGAAGATTAAGAAACATAAAAGTTATGTTTGCTGATGTAATTATTTTCCTTCCTGTTTTCACGACTCGAGTTGATAAAATATATAGCGTGGATGCATAGAATGTTTTGTATAAAATTTTTATAAAAGGATGTAAAATATGAAACAAAATTGATTTACATTTTTTAATTTCACTTTTGCAATTTTTTAAAAATGGAAGTAATTATAATTTTCATTGCTCTCCCTTTCGTCTTTCCCATCGCCATGATTGGGGAGCATCAGGTCTGGAATGGTCGCTTACCTAGAACTCGAACCAAATCATCACGTTGAAGTACTTCTTTTCACAGTAAAACGTTTTCAACTTTTTGTTTGGCTATCGCATGAACTAGTCTCAAGTGATGAGTAATTAAAATACTATTCTTATCCTTTGTTTCTTATGAAAAGGTTAAAATTTAAACCATCTTCATCAAATACACAGCGTTTAGAATTTCAAATGTTGGATGCGATAATACCAGCATATATTAAATCATAAAGTAGACAGAATTTAAATGGATAGTTTATCAACCAACACATTATATATAAAAAAATCAAAACAACAAATTAAGCTTACTAAAATTAAGTCGTAGGTAATGGATTACCTCTTTTTTTTTTTTTTTCAATTCCTAGGAACTGGTGGTTAATATACAAATTATGTGGAAGTTTTTGTCATGGTTGACGTTGACTCTATTGCAAGTAACAAGTAGCCTGTTTGAATAGTCTCTTAATACATACAAGCTTTACATTTCTTGGCGGACTGGCACGACGTTTACGTAGCAATTGTAGACCAATTAAACAAGAAGTTAATATTCCAACCGCGCGCCTTCTCTCTCTTTCTCTCTCTCTATATATGTGTGTGTCTCTGTATGTGTGTGGGTGTGAAACCCATCAAAGTATCACACACTTTCTGATCACGCACATAACCCAACCAAGACGCTTGATTATAAGTTTAGTGTACCAAGCAACATCAACGCTTTATGAAGCATGAAGGTGAAACCAATGATAATTGTGTGTGTGTGTGTGTGTGTGTGTTTATAGTTTTGTATTCATCAAACGCTAGCTAGCTTGATAACTGAACTTTGAGTTCTAATATATTATTGCAGCAAAAGATAGTCAAACGTGTGCCCATGCGCTGTGAGGATTGCAGAAGCAAGGCCATGAAGATCGCATCAATGGCTAAAGGTGATTATATTCTTGCATGCATGAAGTAAATCTTTTTCAATTCGATCTAGTATTATTAATTAGTATATGATATTTCATGCATTGTGCATGCAGGTCGGGTGAATTCGGTGGCACTAGACGGAGAAGATAGGGATCGTGTGGTGGTCGTCGGAGAAGACGTGGATCCGGTGTGTTTGGCTAAGAAACTGAGGAAGAAGTTCAGGTCGGCCACCATTGTAAGTGTGGAAGAAGTGAAGGAGAAGAAAGAGAAGAAGCCTGAGGAATTGGCTTGGTGTTACTATGGGCCTCCTTGTCCCCCTTATATTTGTGAACAATACCCTACTGATAATAGCTGCTCCGTCATGTGATCGGAGACGCAGAGAGAGAGAGAAAGAGACAATATTCCTATGTTTGTATTATGAGTACCAATATAATTGAGTCCGGATTGCAAGTTTTCATTCTAAACAAAAATAGGGAGATAATTACTTCTACCTGTGTGTTGATTAATTTCATGGTATTACTTTCATCTCATGTTATGTATTGCATTAAGTGAAATGAAGTCATTTTAGATTTGTGCATGGCGCACTGTATATTGGGTTCTAGTGGTGGAAGGGATGCTTAAGTACAAGGTTTCGTGTTTAGGTTCGTGTGATTGCAAGGGAAAAAGGCCTTTGAAAGACCTATCTCAATTGTGCTTGACAATATTCAAACAATAGGGGTTAGTAGGTGAAATTTTTAAAAATTTATCTCCGTTACCCTGATAGTTTTGAGTTCATTGGACCCAGGCTAAAATATATTTGGGTTCAAAAAAATTTGAGTCTTTTATATATTTCACTCAAGATCAATAGATTTTAAATTTTTGAATCCATTATACTTAAATTAAGATTTTTTTTTGAAACAACATTTTAATTTTAGTTTACTCTTCCTATATTATTTCACAAAACTAAATATTTATTATACATATAAAACCTTTTTTATTATTTTTATATCTTATATAATTTATGCTCCAACTAGTTCAAACTCTTGCGTTGCCGCTACTCGAACTTCAATCAATTAAATTACTGTATCAAAAAAATTTGTATGTGGTGTCATGATAGGAGAATATTTTCTCATCTTTCCTTCCCATCCTATTGCTAATTTTTTATTTTTCAGGTTTAAATTTTAGCAGTTTAATTTTTATTATTTATATTTTTTATAAAATTTTAATAATAATTTTTTAAGAAATTAAATCTGAACCATCTAAATTTTGATCTAATAATTAAATAGGGAAAAAAATGGAAGAGAAGACGAAAGGAAGGGGAAAGAATCTCACCTGTATACAATGGTAATACACGGAAATTGATAGAGATTGGTTTTATTTTATCCTCCAATTTAAGCTCAAATGTGTTTATTGTTAGATTTTTTCTAGCTAATAGTTTATTGTATTATCACAAAATTAATAAATAAAAAATTCTTTTTCCACTTTCTTGATATAGAAACTTCGATCATTAGTTATATTGGAACTACATTTTTAACCTTCAAATATTATAACCACTAAAGATTAATCAGTATAACATGTATAAAATCTAAACCAATTCAAATTACATGCTATATAAACCCAAAATCATATTTTTTTTAAAAAGATACAAATACTTTTATATATGCTAAAATCAAATAGAAACCCAAAATTATAGTTATCTTATGTCAAGCTATTATATATTTTACATGCTTTTCAATTTAAACTTTTTCCTAAAAATTAATTCGAAAATCATATAATTAAATTTTATTTTAAAAATTATGGTTTTTGGTTCATAATTGATCTTTGACATGTATAAGGGTGTGGGGGCATTTTTTATGAAAATTGAATAATGATTTTAAGTCCATAATTAATATTTGTATGTAATTTATGTGTTTAGATATTTTAGCTTGTCTTTTTTTTGTGGTGTGTATGTTCTACATGGAAGACGTTGGAGCTCGGCCATTGCCAGATTCAACACGTACGTAGTGAAGACTGGCAGTTATAGACAAACCGTAGGTCCCTCAAATACGGACATGGACCATTTCTTTGTAGTAAACCATCACGAGCAGACCAAGACCATTTCAAATACAGATGACCCGTAAGAAAATGATACTGCGCCAGTTTTCACCCAGTTTAACACCAGTGTGTGTGTATCCATTAAATAGACAAAATAAGATATTTTATAATTTTTGAAAAAACCAGTCGGTCTTGTAGCTTAGATTTAATTATCAAATTTTAAATTCTGAGTCAATGAAATTCAATCCTTGAATTTTGATATGATGCAATTCAAATCCTATAATTTTAACCATTTTTTAAAAATAAAATTATACTTGTTCTGGTACTTTTTATAGGGTAGAGAGAGAATTTTTTTGTCCTATTTATAAGTCATATAATTGAATATTTATGATAAAATTTTTCTTTTACCCTTTATTAAATGTTGAAGAGAGAAAATATGGTACTAAAATATGTATATTTGATAGAGGCAAAGTTAAAAACTTTTTAAATTTTTAGATAATTAATCAGTTTTAAATTTTTTCTTAATTTCAGTAAAGCACGTTGAAAGTGATTTATAAATGAGATTAAAAAAGTAAAGACTAAAATTATTTCTTGAAACTTTAGAAACTAGTATTTTAAATTGCTAAATTAAATTGTAAGAACTAAGTTGTACAAAATTAAAATTTAGATATTAAATTTTAACTGAATTAAGATTACATATAGAGATTGAGTTACACTAACTCTAAATTAAAGTTTAGAGACCAAATCATGTATGCGACAAACTTAAAGTTGAGAGACCAAGTCATGTAATTGACTAGTATTTTTATGCATGGACCAAGGTTCCATAGAAGATGCGAGTTTATAAGTCGAAGTCTTTCAATCTGCAAATTTTCTGCAGTGATGTTGACACTAACAAATTGACTTATTATTAATTATTTTTTTTTAGAACGACTTATTATTAATTCTCAACCATGCTTGATTTGTTATATGATACTAATATTCCGCTGGCTGTTGCATTAGTTTTCCTTAGTTTTTCTTATTTTTTTTATTTTGTACAAGTATCCTCTTATTAAAATCATTATTAATCTTTGTTCGAAACATGTGGTTGGCCACTTTCTTATGTTTAGTAGGCTAAATACATAAGTCTTATTTCTTTTTAAATTATCATTTATACAGTGAGCTAGAAACCCTCATCCTACCCATTAAGCGGGTATGTTGGCGCCGGGTCAACCAAATGGTTCTTCGCTAATAAATTTTACATATAGAACATTATCATCATGAAATAAAAACCACTAAGAATGATTTCAAAAAGAAAAATATCAATAATATCCTTAATCTTTAAAATATGATTTTCAAAAAAATTTAAAAAATATTATTTCATGTGAATTCTTAAATAAAATTTACGCAGCTATCCAAATTTCATATTGATGCAGTGACAGGACCAGAAAATTTAGTAGTGGAGGCGATATTTTTACCAAATATTGAAATATAATCTAAATCTTAATTAAATTAATATGTAAATAAATTGTATAAGAAATTAAAAAATATATATCTTAATTTCATTTGTATTGTAAATTTATTTTTATAATAAATATAAGAATAAATAATATTTTTAAATCTATATATACTTAATAATTCTGAAGAGAGTGTGGGGAAATTAATTTTTTATGGAGAGCAATTACAATTTTCATTAAAAAAATAAATGTAATTTTTGCTTATTTCATATCGAAGCAATTGCCTTCCGTTTCTCCCACGCGGGTGTCACTGTATGTCTTGATCCATAGCTTTTTTTCTTTCCTTTGATAGAGATCCACCGTTTGTTGTCTAGATGTACTGTTGTTAACTCTGAAATTACATGGCTTTCAACTTTTTCTTATGAGTCTCTGTATATCGCTTTCATTTTTTTAATTTTTTTTCATTTCTTTTATTCATCTCACGAAATTACTTACTTACAAGAATGACTTTTCTAATTTACTCATGATTTTAAACAAAAACTCGATGTTGTAATTATATAAGGATCGAATTTTTTCTCATATGTGGATCATTCATTTTTCCTTACTCGACAGCGGTATTATATCCTAACTAACCAAACCTACTGCAGATTATTGTCATGAAATAATTAATATAATGTTGTTGACAGTTAACAACTTTATTTTTTGCTGGCCAAAGAACATTTTTACCAAAAGAAATTAGAAGAAACATCGATAATCCATTATCTAACGAGAGAATGTAAAATCTCCAATTCTTAAACACATAATTAGTACATACTTAACTTTAAAGTAGAGTTATCATGATATTTATAATTAATTTAATAATAAAAGATGTCATTAAAAAAAAAATCAACTTTGATTATATACAAACACAAAAAGGCTAAGTAAGAAAATCCCATAAAGATGAGATTTCATAAATAATTAAATATCAAAATTAAATTTAAAATGTCATTTAGCCATTATAAATTAAAGTAAAAAGTGTTTGGAAAATATGAAAAATAATTAGAGTTAAAAATAAATCAAAATGCAATAAAAAAAGTCATTTTTGCTTAATAAGAGTACTTGACTGCGGTTAGAGAAGATTAAGTCACAGCCAACACTTCCATTTGAAGTTTTTGGCTATGGCCAATTATCTCTTGGCTACAGTCAAATGGTCTCGAGAAGTCCTTTGGCTACAGTCAAAAATCTATTAGTCGCAGCCAAAGATGTGATTGCAATTGTTATGACAGCTCCCCAACTATGAACTTTCAATGTGCATAACTTTTAACTTGAGCCTTCAGTTTAGGTGATTCAAGTGCCTACACGTCAACAATTTCATAATCTAGCAATGGTTTTGGTTTCATGTCAATCTGATATCAGATGAAGAATTTGGACACTCAGAACCATAATTTCATATTTTTACCTCTAAATCATCAACCAAGTACCCAAATTTAAACCCATAAGCCATTAACCCACACAAAGACTTGAACCACACTTAAGAAGTCTTAATATACTTGTTCGAACAATTACAATCATCAAACAACTCTTAATACAAGAGTTGACCATCCAACCACCATAAAACACATAATAAAGGGGTGAAAATGAAATTATTTGCATTCAAGCTAAGTGATCACTCAAAAAATGTTAAACTCATCTAACTTATCAAGATATACTTGTTCAAACTATCTTGGCAAACTACCATGGTCAGATTAGGGGTTTGGAACCTTCTATGGCTAAGAAAATTTTAAAATGACTAAATTCGATATTTAAGACTACAAATGCAAGTAGATTTTAAACAAACATAAGTTAATATGAAAGACCCCTAGCTGGCAAGTATTGTATTCAAATTACATATAAAAGATAAAATTAGAGATATTACAATTGATTACTTAGTCTCTAGCTTCATAGGCTTTTCCTTTGCTCTTAGCTTAATCCTTACCTGTAAACATTAAATTACGGGAGTGAGATAAACATTTCAATGACCAAGTAATTTAATCAAATATATTAAAGTGTAGCAATCACAACAATTAAGTATTTAACATCACATATGGCAAATAAACATTATTCACA